TAAAGCTTCCCCTTAATTGCGGATAAGGAAAAAGTTGTTCAGAATCGTGCCCCTGATAACATATTAAAAGGACATTAAAATCGTCCAAAGTTGATTTCAAAACTTTTCAACAATTTTTCGCTAATATCTCGAAAACTAAAGCTTTCCGCGAAATTTTTATATGAACAAAATTGTTCAGAATCATGTCCGTGATAAGATATTAAAAGCGCACTAAAATCGAGAAAAGATTATTTCAAAAGTTGCCGGTTTTTTTGCAATAACTATACTTTGCAATTAAAAAATGAAAAATTTTTTGATAATGGTACCAATGGGGAGTCAGAACCTACCAGATGCAAAAGGTTTCGTTCCGATCGGTCCATCCAGCTAGGCGTAATCGGCGAGCACACATAGGAAAAAAAAAAAAATACTGATCGAATTGAGTAACCTCCTCCTTTTTTGAAGTCGATTAAAAAGTAAATAATGATATAGTGGACATATTTTAATAAAGTATAATATGCTATATACATAGGTATATTGTTTAGCAAAAATATTAATAGTACACTGAATATTATGCTCACCATATAGAACGTTGGGATATATTTTAGCAGAAAGGTTATTTAGGGAAAAGCAAACTAATTCTATAGTAGTTATGTTTTGATTGCAATAAGTTGGGGTCCAATAAATATTTCATAATTATTATTAATTAACTTTATTAAATTAATAAATAGCAGTTTCTAAAATAAAGCAGAAACGACTTACCGTCATCCTACACAAAATTATTGTCAACAGTACTCACTTTAAATCGGGCAAAGTTCGCAAAGAAGTAATTATTACTGACTCTGCCCACTCACTTTATGCACATTAAAACGGGTCAAATTCACTAAATAACCGTTTACATAGATTACATTCAGCAGCAATGGGCAGTACTGACATCGGCAATGGTCTCTGCCCACCTTACCGATCTTGCCGAAAACGTTTTAATATTTATACGTTATACATGTAGGATATGGTATCTGTATTTTGATGAATAAACATCGTTTATTTGATGTTATTATATCAAGTGGGTGGCAACCTTTACCACGACGAGCGTCGTGTCGGTCACGAATGACCTGGCAATAAAGCGAACATTTCACTACGTTTCTAACAATAAGTACAGTGAAATAACAGAGCAACTCATTCGACGCATCTGTGTAATTTTCACCATAAAATAATAAAGTCGTAAAGAAGATCTTTATTCAGAGGCGGCTACTGAATTCAAAAGTGTTCAGATCATATGCTGCTTCTGTTCTTAAGTTTTACATCTGAAACCGAGCATATCTCAATGGTTGAATTATTAAAAAAGTAATTGAGATAATTACAATTTCTTTTATATTTAGACAATGTGGAATTGTAATTAAATACATTTATTTGAAATGTCTACTTTCAGATAATAAGAAATAATAAGAATCTACATTTGTGAAAGAAAAAGCTTTAAATTAATTTGAATCTGAAAACATTCATATGACTCAGTAATTAAACAATATTTATGTCCTATCCATCAATTTTTAGTGTCCCAAATATTAAATTTGTTTTTTAAATTATTTTCATGATTTAGCAAAAAAATCAAGATGGTAATATTTGTAGCATGAAAATATTTTGTTTATAATACATTTATTTAATCAATTGCAAAAAGTTTTTTTTAGTATACAGAACTTTCTACCGAGAATTTATAGCAAAAGGCTCCTTTTACTTTACTCTTTGTTTTGCATGCAACTTTCTGTATATAATCTTTCCTACTTTTCTTTTACCATAAATAAACAATAATATTTGTACATCAGTGAAATTTTAAGGCGATAAGTCACATGTTTCCTAGGCATACATTTATTAGAGAACATTATTTTAAACTTCCTTAAACAAATAAAGGATTATAAGCAATATAGCATGAGTTATTCTGAGCAAAATAAAGATGATTAACTGCATAATGTCAAAAATAAAGCTTAAGAATTAAAAGGGCTGCGCTCCTTATCTAGTAGAGTTTACATTAAATAATTAACAGGACAAATATTTATATTTTGCGTATTTTATTTTGGTTTCTATAACCAATATTATATTGAAAATAATGTACTATTAAAATAATTTTTTGTTAAGATAACTATTTTATTTCGAATTCTTAAGTAAAAACGGGCAACTCTGATTGTACTCCGATTGATTCACCATTCTTTCCAAACAACTCACATCTATTCCGTACTGTGCCTGCTCTATAATTTTCTGCCTAGTGGTTGGGTCTTTGTCCAAAAAAAAAACCCCTAGTTTAGTGTTGGCTTATTCCAACATATCCTTTTTTTAATATTCCTTTCTTATGAGATCCAACGTTATGTGTTTGTCAAACATCTTTTTTTGTTATATTTCATAATTTCGAGTTTAGTAAGGAAGCCAGTTTTTATAAAAAAAAAACTGGTGAAACTAAACATTTTGTCAGTTCAAATACAAGAATAAAACTTTATATTTTTTATTTTTTTATATTATAGATCATTTATGAATAGATCTTGTACATTTTCCTGACTAAAATGAATAACAAGATTTAATTTAAATTTACTGGTTTAATTAACGATAATTTCAACTTGTACGATTTTAATTTACACGATTTTCTGAGAAACCGAGAAATAAGTGTATTAAAAATAATTAATTTCGGTGTTTCCCACTTGTTTTCTTATTACATGATACCGTATGATGTGATCAGTAGATGCAAGACTTTTACCAATAATTAAAATAAGACATACATTTACTGTTCATGATAGTACTTAAATTGGTAAACTTATTATGTTATAATTAGTTAAATATACCTACCTTCCAAACATGAACTTTCTTGTTTTACACATATATTCAATATTGCATTTGCACCACAATTTATATGAGTGAAATGAATGCACAGAGGGAGAAGCTACGATGACAATATGTATAGTGATGATATTATTATGTATGAATGGATGTTTCCCTAACATTGTAAACAATAACAACAAGAAACTTATAATTAATCGAAATTTAAATTTCAGGTACATATTAATATCACGATCAGAAATGTACGCGCAGCTGTATACAACGCAACGAATCATCCTGATGCTAATCGCCATATGGACGCTCAGTTTTTCTTTGCTTTTGCCACCATTACTCGGTTTCTGGGGAACTTTGGGCTTGGAACCGACAACATTTTCCTGCACTATCCTTAAGAAGAACGGCACCAGCCCGAAGAAGTTCCTGTTTGCTCTAGGATTTATCGTACCCTGCGTTGTGATAAGTGTTTCTTATTTATGCATTTATTGGCGTGTGAGGAAAAGTAGGCAGAATTTAAAGACGCATGCAGGTATTTCGAGGAAAAAATCTGTAGGTTTCCAACGAAGGGAAGACTCAAGAGTAACTAGACTGATGTTAACCATATTTCTCTGCTTCCTGTTGTGCTTCATGCCACTGATGCTGGCTAACGTAATCGACGATAAAATGAAAATTCCTATTTTACACGTGATTGCATCTGTATTAGCATGGGCCTCATCCGTTATCAATCCTTTCATCTATGCTGGCACTAACAAACTTTATAGAGAGGCATATAAACAAATCTTGTGTTCAGTTTCTGGAAAGACACCGAAGATGAGCTCAAAGCCGACTCATTCGCATTCGAGCAAAGTATCGACACCCCAAGGGACCTAAAAATGATATAAAATGTTCATTGTAAATAGTAAATATAACGCATTGACGGTTAAATACGATCAATTTCAGATTCGCGGACAATAAATAGACTTAGTACCTACTATTCAGAGCTGGGAAGATTGCGCTTAAAAGAAATGTAATTTATGTTACTTATATTGTGGAAGAGCCCATCTGTTTTCGTTATAAGCTCAAAAGTATGACTCGCACGTATTTATTAATTATTGACAGAGTCGCGTGTACTAATAAACTTGCATAATCCAAAAAAGTCAATAGAGTGAACAAAATGAAGTTGCAACAAATCAAATATTTGAATACTCGAATTTAGTTTATAACTCTAGAACAAAGACGTCTGTTGCTTCTGTGTCATCCTGTGAGCTGTTATTCCAACTCTGAATAGTACATAGAATACATAGGATATGTAGATACTCGGATATTTACTAGGTACTGTTTACTATACATAGTAGTACTAGGATATTTATACAATAGGATAAGTATAGAAAGGCATTTTCATTATAAAAGATAATAATTAAAATTCAATCGTAACCTTTTAGAAATTAGGTTTGATTAGAAAGAATTTTTTAAATTCGATCAAAACCAATAATATTAAAAATTCTTTAATAAAATTTTGGAAATCGAACTTAAGCTAAACCACTACATATCTGAATAAATCAGAAGTGCCTTATAAGACTGAGTTCTAAATTTTTAGAAGTTAGATCTGTTTAGAAATACATAATATAATATTCAATTGTAACATTCCGGAAAAAGCGTATTAAGAATGATTGTTAGAATTTAGTTGTAATATTTCAGAAATCAAGACTTACCGCAGATAATTTTTTAAATTTTTCTTAACATATTAATAATAATCAAACTTGCGCAAAAATGTAAGGTTAAATAAAAAATATTAAAATGTTATTAAATAAACAGTGTTATATTTTCTTCCTCAGATTTTTTACAGCTAATAAAAAAGTTTGTAGAACAATAATTTTTCATTGCATAACACATGCGAAAGTATGTTACTCTATCGTTACTTTAGTAAATGACTTGCACCAATATTTCATTACAATCCACATTTACTAATCATTATAAAAAAGCATAATAAATAATATGAAAATTATAAAAAAATTGTAACTGACAAAATATGTTATTACTTACAAGGTTATGTTTCTTTTAGATCCTACATACTTTGATATTTTTTTACTATTGTATTTAAAGAAGGAATTATATATGTATAAATAATGTGTTTCTGTACTGGCATTTGTATGTGTATAATTTTGAAAATTGTAATATACTGTAATGCACATTTGTTGTCAGATACCTTGTTTACTTAATCATCGGGGGTCATTTCTAGCAATTCGTGGAAATAGTCGCTCGATATTCCAGCTTAATCCTTCGCATATTTTCTCCTTTCTTGCCAAACATAACGTCGTGGTGAGCGAATCGATGAAACATAAACGTTTCTTGGAATTATAACATATACTTGCACAGTTTGTGGTCGGGTTCTTGTTACGTTTTATAACCACTAAGGGAACATTACTGTATTTATAGACAAAGTAGGTTAGTGATCCCTTCCTGAGACATATATTGCTACGAACTCATCGTCACGATAAACCATCCACGTTATTGCAATGAATTTTGAGTACACATATTAAAAGTATAATATTAAATGTTAAAATAGTATATTGCCGGTGCAAAGAACTTCAAAGTCGCTTTATACAATATAAACACTATAATGTCTTCTATGGCGGTGAATAACGAAAATATAAACGTATGTTCTTAAAGAGAAAAAGAAAACAATATTAATTTGGTAAAATGAATAACTGTAACTACGTAGTTTCGTATTCGATAAAGAATATTAACAGAACGAATTAACAGCGTAAGGGTAACGAAAAATGTTGACGAAACAGTACAAAAGGTCATCTATGTTTACGTAATTGAAAAACGTGGTTTGTTTAAATTATCATATTATTAACATTAAATTTATGCGCAAAATTCAATGCAATAATACTCAATGCAATGAAAGACATTTATTGCTGTCACCCATACATTCATAAACAGCGTAAAATATTCAGGAAGCTGTTGAACGAAGAGCTTTTGAACCAATTCGAAATCACTCAGATGGTGTATTAGGTAAAAAAAAGACAATAAAATGTGACTGCTAATAGATTGTGTTGAGATAGTATCAGACATTTCCAAATAGTGTATTAATAGATTTCAAACCCAAAATGTTGACATTAATTTCATCCTCGTATTCAATAATTCAAGGAGACAGATCAGGATGTAACCAAAAGTGACATCAATTTTGTTTATACCGCCAATACACCTTTAAATGTAAGTTTGATCCGTATTTTTTTACATCAATACTAACTCTCACAACCCATTTATTTTTTGTAATCGGTGACATACTATCGTGCAGTCGTCTCTCCTACTTAGAAGAAAATGAAAGTTAGGGAAGTGTCGTAATCCCGATGAATAACAATACTTGAAATTGTTCAAATCTTTCTTTCAATGTCAAAAATTAAATTGAGAAAACCAAAGTTATACAGAAAAATACTTTTAACAATGAATAAATTAATTAATTGAAGATTAAACGAAATGCTCTGTGTGAAAGAAAAACTGGAACTGCCCGAGCATGAAAACCGCGCCTCATTTGTTTTTTCTGACGAAATTTCTAGAAGGAAAGTAAAAGGCTATTTTTAACGAATTTTGTACGCGTATCTGATACCTCCCATCCTTAGTTTAATTTACAGTTTTACAAAACGTAAATTAATTAAACTTTACAATAACTAAAATCCTTTTTTGTACTCAATTATACCTATCAATATAAATGATATGTAATTTGAAAAAAGAAAAGAATACTTTACATAATTAATTTTGAAACAAAATTACAAGATATATATATATATATGTATATGTAGAAATTAATACTTAGTATTCCGTTTTTGAAATTGGCAGTGATTTGACATAAGTAATGAATAAAAACGCATACGAATTTTTCTAACGGCTAAAGAATTACTTAATCTAAAGAGTAAATATCATGAAATCTAGGATGATTGAAGATACTAATAATTATTTGTACCTACGCTAATACTACTTAACATTAAACAAATAATAATGATAAATTATGGGGTTACAATCTTCATTTTTCTTTTGGAGGGAAAAATTAGTTAATCCATATTTACAGAAGGTGCACGCGATGTTGGTCTTCTCAATCCAGGTTGTCCTACAGGTCTAATTAAAGTATCATATTGCTGCCAACCATCCGCAGAATGAGTTGATAATAGGTTGAATGGTCCTTCTTCTAACGTGGATCCGTCTTCTTCTTCCAGGAGTTTCACTAGTTGTCTGCTTGTTACAGGACCAGAATTAACGTTTGTATTTATGATTTTTAAACAACAGGAATCGTTTATTGACTTCGGATCCTTGATGAGGCACAGACATCTGATGGTTGAACGTAGCATATCACAACGACGTAAAAGATATATTGCGAGTACTAGTATGACAATGGATATTGTTACGCTCAATGCAACAGTGGACCACCGATTGTGTTGAACGATAACCGGTTTATTTAGTTCCTTTTGCAAAAAATTTTCTAACTGAATAAGTTTATGGTTAGAATATTTGAGCTCTTCTGTATTAATATCCGTGACTTTTACTGGCTCTAAACGTATCGGAATGATCGTGGATTTTTCATGACTTTTCGGACAGCAATCTTCTTCAGGAATTTGTTGCATTAAAATGTGGCTACGATTTGCGGTGATGCCTTGTGACGATTCCAGAACGACTGTCTCGGGTGATGCCTTGTGACAATTCCAGAACGACTGTCTCTGTATAACCCTTGCACTGAGGTCCAAGACGAATAATTCCAGTAGTTTTCAATTTGACGTCTTCAATATGTGTCGGAGAGCAAGTGATCGTTAAAGATGGTGGGTGCGAAGCCGAAAAGATCCATTCATTGTCTTGGATATAAACCCATCTCTCGAAATTACCCTTGATAATTTGAGTTTGACATGTTGAAGGTATTCCTTTCATTTTGAATGCGAATAATTTTGTTTCACATGTTGGTTGACCAGTAATCCTTGTTACTCGATTGATATAGCAGATGCGCTCGTTGATATTGGCCAAAGGACATAAATCGAGATTTTGAAGCATTGCATAATACACCCTATTTATACTCATTGTCAGTAGCATGTAGGAAAAACTAGGTTGAATATACAGGTAGGTGTTTGAGATGTTTTGAGGAACAGGTAAAGGAAACATTTCATATAGCTCAAATTGCATTTCTTTGATTAACGGGATTTCGATGATGAAAACTAATAGGATATTATTGATGAAGACTACGTTTAATTTATATAATTTGTCAAATTTGTACATGTTAGAATACGTTAACGGAATGGGCCATTTTAAACCATTTTGAAGAACAATTTTGTTTAATTCATCAAAAAGGTTTTGTGGAGATATTATTTGTGGATATAATATATTTTGTCTTGCTAATGAAATAGAAGAAATAATCGAATTGCAATATTCATCTAATTCTGTGAGTATCTGCGTGAGTGAGAATATTTATTCTAAAATAAGGTGTCGCATAAGAATATTGTTCAAGTAATTAGTCGTTGAGCTTGAGAAACTATTGAGTAATTTTATATTTTCGTTAAGTTTATCTTCATCAATTCGGAGACTCTGGATGGATGAATTAAAATTTTGTATAGTATTACTTACAATTGCAATTTGTTGTTTCATTAATAATTGAACATTTCTGTTCTCGAGAACAATCGAGTCTATTATTTTTTTGTAAAATTTGGCGTCTTCGGCACTGGGCATGTCGAATAACCAGCTTAAAACATAAGATGCACCGTCAAATAATCCTCTTTTAACTATCTTCCTCCCCCCGTGCAGTTGGTTATTCGTCATGTACTTTATAGTTTCGATTTTATTTTTAGTTGCCATGATTCGTGAATGTATGTTTTTGAAAGAGCTTTGACAAAAGTATGCGTTGCTATTGTGAACAGTTTGTTTAGAAATGTGAGTACACAGGATTAAAGATCTTGTATAAAATCTAAATAATAAGTCATACTTTTGATCTGATAGAGTGAGATTAATGTGCGTTAATAGTGTGAATCGAGAATTCGATATTTTTACCTTTCCAAGTTGATTAAAATATAATCCCATATGGTCATTTAGATGTGAAATTTCATAATAAGATTTGTTAATTTCGTGAGCATGATTAGGAACAATGGAAATGGATGCTATTATCGTTGCCAGGACAAACAGAAGGTGTTGTTTTTTATTCGTCTTCATCTCCTGAAACATAAGGTTTCAGTAAGTTAGTGTGATAAGTTATTAACTTCCTATTTTTTAAAACTTGAACTGTGCTATTTGAATTCATTTTTATTATTTTATAAGGACCTTTATAATTCGGTGTGAGTTTTTTATTCAATCCTGTAGTAGTTTGTTTATTCAAGACATAAACTAAATCACCAATTTTGTAGATGTGAGAAACGATTTTATTATCATAATAAGTTTTTGATTTGATTTTAGCCTGTACTAAATTATCCTTTGCTATTTTTTGCGTATAATTTAACTGTTGCGTAAACAGCGCGGATTCGGGCACCCGACACTGTTCTGACCCAGTCACGATTTAACGAGCTCTGGGCCTGGTTTTAAGTGATAATTCGTGATCCTTTTCGTGTTTTAGCTACGCGTTATTCGTTGTATTACTGAGTTCTTTTCGTGATTTCGATATGTGATGTTTGAGATATTATCGTGTTCTTTTCTTGAATTAGCTATGTGTTGTATGAGATATATTCGTGTTCTGTTGTCTTTCGCCAAAGTAGCTGTCGATATTACCTCGGAATCGGTAATTTGGAAGGGGTGTGTTTTCTTATTGGTTGTTGATTTTTGAGAGGTGACCGCCCTCGTAAGAAATGGTCACCTCCCTCGCACAAGAAATGGTCACCCCTGGAAGTAGCCGCGACCAAGGGGTGACGCACGAGGGATACCGCGATTTGGGAAAAACCCGTAGCAGGTAATAAGGTGAAAAAGCACTCTGACCCTGACAACGATGATTGAAAATAACGGAATAGGAA